CAGTATGTGTCATTAATCCCACTAATGCTTTTCTTAATTAGCTCCTGGAGAGACCCCAAGAAGCACATTAGTGTCTGAAATTGCTGTTGATTAAACTGGCCAGGACTTTATGTTGAGGAGGGGAGCGCTGAGGCCCTCTCTGAGAGCCTGCTTATGATTCTTTGCTTAGAAGTAACCCCTTGACCACATGGATCTGTCAGGCTGGCCCTGTAGGAGCCTCTGTGGGATGCCTTTCTCTCCTGTGCCCTAATTGCAGAGGCAGCTCTTTCCCTCCCTCCTTTCTAATGACAGCTGTTCAAGGCTGCTGCCTGAGCTGCAAGGTTTCTGACGAAACAAGGAAGATATTGCTTCCTAGGTTTAATGTCTTTCTGTCCTCAAAGACTTCTCTTTTTAGTAACAGAATTTTTGCCAACACTGATAACGTTTCTTCAGTAAAGATTCTTTTTTGTTTAATGCTTTTTTTCTAAGCCTGCAGTAATGGACTATCTAAAGTTGATTCATAGAAGTAGACCTGAGATTTAAAATGAGCGCAGGTATATAAAGAGCAGCAAGCGTAAGTGGTCAGAAGAGAAGAAAAAGCAACAATACAAACTGAAAAGCTCCAGAAGGAACTCTTACTAAAGTTTAACAGAAGGAAATTGTTTGTGCTACCCATGGCATCCTTTTGCTGCAGGGGTCATATAGTTAAATTGCTCAGGTTTTAAAAGATACGTTCTTTGTCATTGTAGGCAATTTTTGCAATTTACTTGTTTTATCATCTTCAATCCTAGTAGAGGAAATAAATATTTAATCTATCAGGCTGTACTCTGATGGCTGGTTTTGGCCTTAACTCACGCATTTACTGTCCCAGCTAGTGATGATAAAATTATTTGATGAATTTGGATAAAGGAAAATTTATTCAGATTTACTGAAATAAGAGAAGGAAGGCAATGGAAGCAGAAACTGATGGGATAATAAGCTCTGTCATGGATATAGCAGAAAGGAAAAAGGCATAAATAGCAGCTCAGATGTAAATGCACAGCATTGTTAGCCCTTTAAAGGGGGTGATTATCCCGCTCTGCTCTGCACTGGGGTGGCCTTGCCTCAAGTGCTGAGTGCACTTTGGGGCACCAGAACATAAAGACATGAAGTCATTAGAGAGTGTCCAAAGGAGGCCAGCAAGGATGGTGGAGGGTCTGGAGGGGAAGCCGTGTGAGAAGTGACTGAGGTCACTTGGTCTGTTCAGCCTGGAGAAGAGGAGACTGAGGAGACAGCCCATTGCAGTCTGCAACTTCCTTCTGAGAGAGGAGGAGGGGAAGGCACTGATCTCTGTTCTGTGCTGAGCAGTGACAGGACCTGAGGGAGTGGCCTGGAGTTGAGCTAGGAGCAGTTATGTTGGATATCATGAAAAGGTTCTTCACCCAGAGGGTGGCTGGGCACCGATCAGGCTCCCCAGGGAAGTGGTCACAGCACCAAGCGTGACAGAGCTCAAGAAGCGTTTGGACAATGCTCTCAGGCACATGGTGTGACTCTTGGGGTGTCCTGTGTAGGGCCAGGATCAGACTCAGTGATCCTGATGGATCCCTTCCAACTCAGGCCCATTGCAGTCTGCAACTTCCTTCTGAGAGAGGAGGAGGGGAAGGCACTGATCTCTGTTCTGTGCTGAGCAGTGACAGGACCTGAGGGAGTGGCCTGGAGTTGAGCTAGGAGCAGTTATGTTGGATATCATGAAAAGGTTCTTCACCCAGAGGGTGGCTGGGCACCGATCAGGCTCCCCAGGGAAGTGGTCACAGCACCAAGCGTGACAGAGCTCAAGAAGCGTTTGGACAATGCTCTCAGGCACATGGTGTGACTCTTGGGGTGTCCTGTGTAGGGCCAGGATCAGACTCAGTGATCCTGATGGATCCCTTCCAACTCAGAATATTCTATGATTCTATGAAATAGCAGCTCAGTTGGAGGTAGATCTGGTAGAATTAATGTCTGCTATGGAATATTTTTGCTAAACTTTTAGGTTTTCTTCAGTAATCAAAACCTGTAAAATTGTGATGTAGAAATCTTAACAGGAAATCCTCAGATGAATGAGATTTCTGCAATGTAGAAATCTTAACAGGAAAACATCAGGAGTGGCTGGAAATGGTAAGAGGCTTTGATAACATGCTAAAACATGGTGAAAAGACAAGTTGAATGAAATACAGTGCTTCACAAAAAATAAACAACAGCTGCAAAAGGAATCACTGTCTCCTAAATTTAGTGTAGTTTTTTTCTCAGCATATCAGCAGAAATAAATAACAGAAAGATGTCATATGTTACTAGGTTTTCCAAAATCCATTCGAAATAATTTAAGAATCTCAGCAACAGAAGATAAAAGATGGATAAGGTTAATATAAAACAGTAGGATTGTTCAGTCCAGACTGCATGTGACAAATTATACACCTCACTGAGTAATTTTTTAGGAGGCTACCACATTGAATACAGCATTCATGTATGGTCCTACTTCTTCTTTGTCACCCTTCTTTTAATTCTGACATCTGTTTGAGATTGTTGCGTTTGCAGGCTGATGCCAGGAACAACCAAATGGATGTATTTGTTATGCATTGCAGTATAAAGAGGGACACTAATTTGATAACGCTGGTGAGAAAGCTTGTGCATCTTAAAGGAAAAGTAGCAGCCAAAATGATGTTCAGTTTTGAAACTTGATCAATAGGAAACCCAGCTTCCAATGATTTCCTGCTGGAGCTTATTCTGACAGAAAAGATGAACAGCCACACTGGAAACCAGCTGGTGGTTGCCAGCATTCAACAGCCTAATTTCTTTTGTCTTGTGCAAATAGAATGTATCATGCCTTATATGGGGTCTTAGAGAAACTTGAGTTTTAGGGGAAAAAAGCCAAGCCTTTGGCCCTCCCACAGCGTGTTGTCCCTCTGTCAGAGCTCCAGGAGTGGCAAAGGCTGCTGTGTTCAGTAGTTGCACACACTGAAATCTGCGGGCTGTGTCATAGCTTAGTTTAACTCAGTGACCTCATCTCTGTTCAGCAGCTTCTCATAGCTGTTCTCTGTGCTTGCCTTGGTGATTTGAGCAGAGCCCTGGTATCTGCAGCTCTGTCAAATGACTCAGAGTGCTAATTAGTCACAAAGGAGCCGTGTTCCTGCAGAACTGGCACTGGGCTGTGTTTGTTTCCTTCTCTGTAAAGCTAGAATTGCCTTCAGCTGCCCAGCAGTCAGGTCAGTGTAGAGATATCACTAGTAGTGTAAAGCATGGGGACAAGGTTAGTTCAGAAGTGCTGAAAATGGACAGGGAAAATACTGTTGGCAAGAAAATGTAATCCGTAGGTATATGAGTGATTGGAAGTTCATGGGAATGGTCAGCTGTGTACTCCCAAAAATAACTTAAGTTCTGGACTTTTTTCTCTGTTCACAAAATGGGAAAAAAACCCAAAACCAAACCCAACCACCAAACAAAACAGAAACACCCTTAAAAACCAAAACCATAAAGACAAAGTCCCACACTATCAAAACAATGGCAATACAACCAAATGGTAATCCAACCCAAACAAAAAACCCCCAGACTCTTCTTTTCAAATCGTAAAATGAAAGTAGCTGTGCTAATTTGTTCAGAGGAAAAAGAGTAGAGAAGATAGATGAAAAAAAAAAAGCCATGATAATGGTGGCTGAAGATGTCAGTGGACTATCCAGAACCAGTAGAATTAAATACTCAGATTAGGACACTAAGAAAGCCTTCAGGTATCACAGGGGGGGAAATTCCAACTTCAGCAGTGTATTTGTCAGTAACAATCATGGTACAGAAATGGCTCCTGTTTTTCATGTAGGAACAGAGGACTCGGGAAACCTCCTCAAAATGTATGATTCTGTTCCCTTTATTTTGTTGGCAAAACTATTGTTTAGTTATTACTATAAAATCATTAAGTACTGGTAAAATTACTTCAGATCTGCCTTTCAAACAATAGCCAAATACAGTTATTTCTATAGTGAGTAGAAATTCTTTAGCAGTCTGTTGAGATCAGGCAGTAACTGCAAAATATTCTCAGGTGTTCAGTGATGTAGTACCAAATGTAGCAAAAAGTTATTTTAGCTGTGAAGATGTATTTTTTACTTGGAATATCTTACATCGCTGTCCTCTGAGGGATGACATCTCCACCAGTTCCACCAACTCCATCAGCTGTGCTTCCTGAAGGGAGGCAGCACACTCGGTATCATCACCCCTCATTTGGTACTGAAAGCACTTGGGGGGGAGAATCTCGCAGAGGATAGGTCCCAGATGGAGGATTGGGAACCAGTACAGCAGCGTGTCTTGCACAGCACAGAGCTGGCTATGCGTTCATTGATATATTTTTCCTAATATCATAGCATTAATTTATCTGATGTAATTATATACTTCTGTCTGGAAAAGCAAGTCCTTTGGTTTTGATTTTTACTTACTTTTATGGTGTGAAATCATCAGCTGTCCTGCAATTTTACTTAAATATTGTTTGAGGATGCTTGTTTTAACATAGTAATTTTTAACAGTACTTTTACTGAAGGAAGGCTGGGTTTCCTGAAGATACACTGTGTGAATAAAGGGATTTTAAACTTTAAATTTTCTTACAATAAACAGCAAAGTCACACTGATTTTAAAATAGTCTTATATTTCTATTCCAATTGTTTGCCACTCACCATGCCTAGCATTATTTTTTAGAAAAGCCAGACATTCTGAAGCTAACTGGAACACTTTTTGAAGATGAAATCGAAGTCATTAATACAGTTTTGAAGATGGGAAGCTTGCTTTCTTTTTAACCTGTTGAAAGTTACTATTTTCTTCCATTTCAGCCTTATGCATTTGTTGTTAGTCTTATAAAACACTCAGAAATGCACTTGAGGCTTTAAAATATTGTGGCCTACTTAAACTCAGCTTTTATTTTCGAATGACATGTATATTACATCTGTTTCAAAAATATCTTTACACATTAGAAAATCTCCATTGGGTGTTTAATCTTTTTTACTTTCTCTTTTTTTCCCGTTTTGTAGTTCTCATGGCTTTGATAGATCGTATGGGAGATGCCAAAGACCAAGTTCGAGAGCAAGCACAGAATCTTATATTGAAATTGATGTGTGAAGCAGCACCACCCATGGTATGATTGTTTAATCCAGATTCAGATGGAGGCCTCCAGTGAGCTTATGACTTCTGTATGAACTTTGAACATGTCACAATGTTATTGCACCTGTTAATGGTGTAAATGTTAAAGATACTCTTAATGGATTGACACTGATGTATTGTTCAGCTAAAGATAAAAATCTTGGCACGATGTGATTCTGCATATTTTGCACATCATAGCTTAATTCTGAGTAGATGTTTTTATACTGTGTAACAGAGCTTTGTTAATTAAAGCATGTTTGAAGCATCTTCTGGGTTTGAATAACGGGAATAAATAAGTTTAATTAGCTCCAAATAGATTTAAAATCAGATTTGTATTTGAACATACAGGACTAGTCCTACAGTTAAGGTGTACATTTTCTAACTTAGGAGAATCTGGCCTTCTAGCTCTATTACAATGATGCTTTGTGAACCATGGACAAACTGAGGTGGGGATAAGTTGCCCTTTGGCTTGTCATTTTTGGTTGCAAGGAGGCTTGCTTTACCCAGCCTTCAGTTCTAAGCGTTATGCAGCTTCTGAGTGCTTAATCTTATATCTCTACTCTCTGAGTCTGAAAAATGGAGGACTGTTTAACAAGATTATATTCTTGAATAGTGATATTATTTGGAAGTCTGGAGACCTTTGATGTGAGTAAGAACTTACTATTTGAGTTGTTAGTTCCTGAAGAAACTCTGTTTCTGAGTTCTAATTCTAGAGGTTAATAGGGAAAAAAAATGGGTTTTTGTATGTGCTAATTCCTGGCTTTGTTTATTCATAGATACAAGTTTGAGTTTGTGTGCAGTGAATAAGATGTTGTGGACTTTATCTGGCATGAGAAAATTATTGTCAGTTGCTTTGTTTGTCTGATAAAACATGTAGCGTGCTAGGCTATTATAGAACATGTTTATCTCCCTTTGGCTACAGGTCTGGTTGAGATTTAGGCATCAGGGTATAGTAATATCATCCACAAAGACGTGCCTTTATCTATTCACAAGCTGCAGTGTCAGTCATATTCATTGACCAAGAGACCTGGCAGTTATTTTTTTGTGTCAGAGTGCCAGTGGTTCATAAATGACATGTTAGTGTGCCCAAGGTGCTCCCAAATACCTGGCATACAGACCAGAACCTTTACAGCAACAGCATTTGGACAAGTGCACAGCAGAGCACCTTGGAGATACCTTCATTTGGACAGCTGCTGATAAAGAAATTGGTGATAGTTGCTTTGTGCTAAGCCCTTGTCAGGAAAGTTTTACATTGTTGATCCATCTTTGTTGGTGCAGAGTTGTTAGGCAGTACATAGAGGTGATGGAAGGAAGTTTCCATCCCCTGTGAAGATGACTCCGTGTCAGAAAGTGTACGAGGTTTGTGGGGTTCAAGGAAGTGCATGTGTGTGCAAGACAAGGTCTGTCTCTCCTGGTAACTCCCCCATGGTGGGAGAAGCCTGGCTTTGGTTGTCTGCTCTCAGGAGAGCTTATGGGTCATTACAAGTTTGGATGAAAAGCATCAATTATCCCCACAGCAGGGACCAAAGCAGTAGAGTCTTTCCTGTGCCTCCAACACTGAAATCCAGAGCTTTAGGCTCTCTGCTGCAGTGAAGCATCCCTTTAGAAGAGCTGAATGGAATAATTTTTTGAGGATAAGTCCTGTAAATTTTTTTCTAGTCAACTCACCTTGCCTCTTCTAGCGTGTTGTTGAATAATATTTAATTTGTCCTGATATTAAATCCCTTTACTTGTTTAAATGTTTGGGGTTTTTTTGTTTCTTTTATGAGCAAGAAATGTAGCTGTTTATAGTCAGGAAGGCATAAAAATATATATATATATGTATAAATGTGCATGAAAGGAGCAAAGTGAGGTTTGTTGTGATAAGGTACGAAATGACAGAGACACTGCTGCTCTTGAGTGGAACAAAAAAGAAGCACTTTTATTTTCTGACTCCAACATTTATAGTTTTCTAAAGGTGACAGTGGATTGGAGGGTGACAGTGCCACCTCTCCAATGCCACTGGACAGACCAAGGGTCCATCAATTCTTTCTACTTCTATGAAAGAATGCAAAACATAGGTTATTTACAGAACTGTGTGTGAGAAAGTTTGTTGAAAGAATGTAAACATCAGAAGGCTTAACAAAGTCTTACAAAATCAGGGCGACAGAGGTTAATATCAACTCTTGCTAGGAACTTCTAATTAGGAGTTAAAATTTCTAGGCAGCCATTTGAATTTCTCTGCTTAAAAAGATGTGGTTGTTAAGGGGTAATTCAGTGAAAGACTAAATTTCTCTTTGGTCTGCTTTGTTTATTTCAGTAGTCTGCAGTTCCCTCTCTACCTGTGTTTTTATACATCTAGCAAGGAGATTTCCTTTTTCCCATGCTTGTCTGTGACAGTGGGTTAATTGGAAGGATGTTTTCTTCCGTAAAATCCTGTTCTTTGTTGTTAAGCTATGCAGTTTTGGCAAGCCATATCCTGTTCGTCTAAGGTTTGTTTTCTCTAAATGCAATGAAGTATAAAACAAACAAACAAAAAACCACAGATGGAACAAAATTATCAAGCAGGGCTCTAATTGGAAAATTTTATGTCTGCTCTGAAGCGTACTACCTCATTAATAAAGAGGATGCATATTCCCTGCTCTTATGCTCTGTTTTTGTTGATCAACAGCTGTTTGTGAAGGCTTTTTTTTTTTTTTTTTCCAGAAAGCCGATTGCAATAATTAGTATGTAATACATTTTAGCAGCTTTGTGTGGCGTCATTATAGGTTGCAGTTGCAGCACTCCGGGGTGCAGTTGGCAGGAGGGAGGTGCCTGGGCTGCAAAGTGTGCAGCTCCTGGCAGTGTGCAGCCATCCATCGCTAGGCAACGCTGCCCGGATGCTGGCCGGGCTGCAATGGCAGCGCTGCAGCTGGGGCGAGTTGCGGGCTGAGCCCGTGCATCTGCTCCCAAGGAGGATCCCCGAGCTCCTCTGCTCCACGTTTGTGCTTCCAACGCCCTGATACACAGCTAGAGCACGGCGAGGAGATGGAAAGGTAACGGGATAAACGCAGCAGGCAGAGAGGCAGGGCAGGCAGAGAAAAACGAGTGCGCAAGGAGGTGAGCGAGGGTTCAGCGAGCCAGGAGATCGTACCACAGGAAGCGGCACCAGCACGGAGAGGAGAACCGAAAGCAGAACAAAAATGGAAGCACAGGAATCAGAACGAGGGGGCAAGAAATAATCAAAACATGAAGAAATAGATCTAAAGCAAAAGTAAGGGAGAAGTGGGACCACGGGAGTAGGGATAAGGACAAGCTAAAATGGATGAGAGGAAATTTTGGCAGGGAACCAGAACATGAAGCAAAAAGAATATAGTAACTTCTGCTTGAGTCGATAGTTTGTAATGTGAATGTTTGTTTTGTGTGCCTTAACTGTAACAATTCTTTATGTTAGAAGAGCTGTTTCTCAAACAAGGAAAATACTCAGCTAGATTGCTGAAGGACTTTTTTTAGGAATTGGTTTTGGTGTAAAATCTGTGTTATGTTCCATATTGTGCATTTCATAAGTTAGTTTTATCACTTTTCCAGTGGACCTGCCTTCTGTTATTTTTTTTGCACCTATTATGAATGTAATTATATGGAATAGAATTACGTTGTATTGTGCTCCTGATAATTAAAGACCATTATTTCTGCTTTTATAGTACATTTGGGAACGCCTTGCTGTTGGTTTTAAACACAAGAATTACCGATCCCGAGAAGGAGTGTGTTTGTGTCTTGTTGCTACCTTAAACATGTAAGCTTTTTGTTTCTATGGAGATGTAATGGTTCTATCCTTCTTCTGAATGTCATTTTTCTCTGAAAGTAATCCTTTAGGGAGTCTGCTTCAATTAAATTAATATATGGGAAAATCAAACAACCTAAGTAGCGGGCTTTCTGAAAGAAAGACTAAAGTTACAGAAATATTATCTAATTTAAAAGTAGATCAAGGACTAGTAAGAGAGAGACAGAGCTTGATTGATGTCAGTTTGTATTCTATAAAATCTAAGCCAAAAGTTCACTTCTGCAAAAATGATTTTCTGTTGTTTTTTTTTTAAAAACACTCCTCTTTTTTTTTTTTAGTTATGGTGCACAGCCATTAATCCTCAGCAAGTTGGTACCACATCTGTGTATAGCATTTGGTGACTCCAACAGTCAGGTAAGGATTTCAGTACTTACTGGGCCTTGAACAACTATACTTTGACAGAGCAGTGAAGCAAAATAAGCATTCAAAGAAAAGCTGATAAGAGTCCTTGTGTGCAGCAGATCATTATTTTCTACCATGAGAAAAAGTAAGCCAAATTTCTTCTTAATCGGTCCATCCATTGGAAGATGAAAGTAGAGTTGCAAAGGCAGCAGTATCACAATATACTGGTCCCTTTAGTTTTGTTTTAGAAGTTGAAACTAGTAATTGCTGAAAGTAATTGTTTCTTACAGAGCATGTTGAAAGGAAATAAATAAAAATAAGCTATTCACACAAAAAATTACCTCCAGAAACAACCCTTATATGAAACCTGTGCTAGTTTACCAAATTTGCTGAAGTTAACCTTACGTGTAATTATTTTCCAATTGGAACCCAAATGCATTTAAGAGCATGCAAGGACTGTCATTAAAATCATTAAAACATCTGCAGTGAAAATCAGGAAGTAGTTCATAATGGTGACATCTGAACCTGAGAAAATCTTCCAGTGGAAATGGTTAAAATATCTTGATTTATCTGAAGTTGTGTTTGAAGGAAAAGACTATGAATACAGTAAGGGAGAAGATAACATTGGTAGGAGATGGACTTTTAAACAGGATTGGTCTTTATGCTTAAGTTCTGAATGCAGCAAAGTTCCTGTCTCCCCTGTGCTGCATAGCATTGTTCTCTTCTAGAGATCTTCTGTTGAGAATTTGTCCTGTTTGCTGATCATTAGTTAAAGATGTAGTTCACTTCTTGCTAGAGCAATTGTATGTTTAGTTTGAGCTGCTGCAAAGAACAATACTAAATTAATTCCAGACATTCTTTATAGAAAATAATGGCATTTATATGGCATTTACTAAAATGCATTTTTGGCAAATTTTATTGTGATGAACATGGTTTAAAATTTTTGAAGAGGTACTCTATCTCCTTTCTTTCCCCTGTTCTTTCCCCTTCCACTGTCCTACCCTATTCCCTTTCTTGTGCTGATGTCATGCCACCTGATTCCAGTTGAAATAAAGAAAATACCGATCACTTTGATCTACTCTTGTGGGCAGTCTTAGTCTTCCAAAAGGACCTTGCTGTGTGTCAGGACAGATGAAAACAAGATGAAATGTCAAGACTGAGTGTAGGAGCTAACTTTTGAAAGTATTGCCTGCTGTGAGCGAGCCCTAGATAAAGCACATTTTTTCCACAAATGCTATTCTTATGTCAGATCCAGAAATTCCCTCTAAAGCTGTTATTTCTAGGATTTTTTACCATCTGGGCATGCTCTAACTTGGAACAAATGCCATCCTGATATAATAGTTGTATGTCCTTTCCTTTTCACCCTCACTGTTTCAACTGAATTGGCATAAAGGGCCATAGAAACTGTAAGACGAGTGGCCTGTCAGCAAATATTGTTTCGGTTTCTGTAACCCTGAAATTAACAATTTAAACTGTTCACAGGTGAGAGATGCTGCCATACTAGCCATTGTAGAGGTTTATAGACATGTGGGAGAGAAAGTACGAATAGATCTTACAAAAAGAGGAATTCCTCCTGGAAGGTAAGCTAGCTGCTCTGATTTTGTAATTCTGAGCCATTTATGTTTTACTGTTCTTTATCTGGACTTTAAACTCACAAAAAACTCTGTTTTAAAATTACTGTAATTTTTATTGTATATTCTAGTTAGTTTTGCCTTTCAGTATGATGTTACTAGAATTGCTTCACTGTGTTGTATGTTGATTAGTTTATATGAAAGAAAATTCATTATTATTAATAGTTTTTACATTATTGTTAGTATTATCATATTAGTTTATATGAAACAAAACATCGTTTTGTTTCTACCTTTGACTAATTAATAAAGCTAGACAGAGCTTGAAGTTGTACTTAGTGAGAAAGACTGTATTCCATAAAATATTGTAAAGTTCCTTGTTAAAACAATTTATATTTCTTAAAGGGTGTTAATCCCTTATATATTAGCATACCACTTTACCATCACCTTCCTCTTACTTCTTGATTTTGATAAAGCTGAACATGTCTACTACTTGGTTTCAGAGAGGATATCAGATGAGTGCCTCATCAGAGCCATCTAAAAAACTAAACTCTCCTAAGAGAAGGTTTTTAGGAGACTTCAGAGCACCTTCCAATACCTAAAGAGGGTGTACAGGAGAGCCTGGAGAGGGACTTCTTACAAGGATGTGATAGGACCAGGCTTTAAACTGGAAGAGGATAGGTTTAGGTTCAATATTAGGAAGCAATTCTTTTCTGTGAGCATGGTAAGACACTGGAACTGGTTGCCCAGAGAAGCTATGAATACCCCGTCCCTGACAGTGTTCAAGGTAGGATTGGATGGGGCTTTGAGTAGCCTGGTCTAATGAAAGGTTATCCCAGTCCATGACACAGGAGTTGGAACTGGATGATCCAAACAAATTCTATGGTTCCTTGAAAGAAGAAGTGCCATGGAAGAAGGGTGTTGAATTTATTGTTTCTCATTCCAGGCAGAGTTCAGCCTGTTGAGACACAAGTTTACCCTGCCTATGAGAATGAGAAGTTGCACACATTCTCTTCTATTTAATGATAGTCTTGGTTTTAAACTAGTAATGGATTATATGGTTACCACAGAAGTTAGGCCATATTATTACTACAATTCAAAAAATTAAGTTTCCTAGCAAATAAGTGGAACATATCTGAGAATATCTTCCATGCATTAAGATAGGGCCTTGGACATCTTTTGGAACAGAGAATAAAAGAGTACAGATACCACAAGCTTTTTGCAATTAATGTTGGGTCTGACTGTAAGTTTAAGTTGCGTACTCACTGTTTACAATTCCATGTGATACAAGCTGAGTACATCTTGGGATCCAAATAGGATTAAACACCATAGGTGCTTTGTATCCTCAGGACAATCAACAGCTTCTAATTTAGTTGCAGTAGGTGCCAAGTTGTTGTTTCTACTGTCTGAATCAGCTGAATACAAAATTCCCCCTGATCTGAAAGCAAGCATGGTTGTGTAATTTGCATTTACATAAAGAAGCAAGACTCTACTTGGTGCATGTTAAATGGTTGCTGCTACTAAATCTCCAACAGTTTTGCACCTGACAGTCAGGACTAGTGTTAAGTAGTACATGAGCTGAGTGTCAGCTGCTGTGTCCTCTGCAATCGGTTTCAGGCTGGGATAAAGGGGGGAGTTATGATTTGCTTGAGTTTAACATGAGACTGCTACTCTCTGTCCCATCCATCCCTGACAGAAAGCAGAGTTCCTGTAGTCCTGTCTTACTCCTTCACACAACTAAGAAGGCGTTTGACAAAGCTCAGGAAAGACAGATTAGCTCTTTGGTAGCTCAGACTGTTGTTCCTTCAGAGGCAGACCTCATTTAAGACATTTCTTCCCCCGTGCCTGTCAAAGCTTTTCCCTTTGCTTAGATGCAGTAAAATTTTCAGGTGGGTTATGCAGAGCTGTGATCTGTGAGAAGAACCCCTTTGATGTAGAGTAGCATCATTATTTTGAGGGGAATCTATGTTCATGTGTGTGTGTCTGGGTAGGTTTTAAGTATTACAGATAATCTGTAGTTCAGACACAGCTGCTTTCAGTTGTTGAGTTCAGCCTTAAAGAACTGCATTGCAGCTCCTTTGCTGTAAGTCAGTGCATTAAAAATTACATGTAAACATAAATATTAGCAGACAAATTTATTACTTTAGTGTTTGGTGCACACATGAATCGATAGCATATAGGCTTGTTTAGTTTGCATAACAAATTACACATTGCAGAGCTGTGTGTTGCTGCTTGAATGCACTCCATCCTAGAGCACTGAAAATAAGAGCTCCTGTATGCTGAAAGGAAGGCAGGAAAGTTAATCAAGCATTGTTTTGAGAAATTGTTCAACTTCCTTAAATATCTAAATGGTATATACATATTGTGTCTGTATAAAGCCAAATACAGTCAGTACTTTAATAATAGTAGGCTTAAAAGGTTTTCTAATCTCCACCTGGTAGGGTTTGCCTTTGTGGAAAATACTGGATTTTCTACAGGGCTTTACTGTCAGAATCTAATGAATAAAATATGGGATCTTACTTTTGTAGTTCAATTTGACTTATTTGCTGTTTATTTTTCTTCAGTGCATTTCTCTTCTTTACTGAGATTAATTGGTGAGTTTGTTTATAAATAAAATCAGTGAGTTCATCTTTCTGTTTGTTATTTTTTAACTTAGAAATCTCAGATTATTATTATGTTTTTTGCTTGAAGCACATTCCTTTTCCAGAACAATTAGTATCAAGACAGTGGTTGGAAATTTGGATGTTGTTTTCCCTTTTGTTGTAATTGCTGCCAGAGAGGTTTGACAGTCTTTGGTGTCAGACCTGAAAGCAGTAGTGTTAATATATTTGTGAATGCTGAAAATGAATGTTACATTTATTGTTCAGTGAGCCAAAAATACTGAAGAGGTTTTGTTCTCTATGGGCCAAACGGACTGTTTTACAGTATGGAATCTGCGTGGCTGATCTTCCCTGACTGGAAATAGTATACGTGGCTCTGGATAGAAGTTACTTAGTCTGAGTGTTAAAAGCTTTTATCATTGAGGAATTCATCTGACAAATTTCCCCACTGTTGCTTGAGAAACAGAAATGTGAAAAAACAGTCATTTGTTTAGTTCTTATGTCTAGGGCCAAAACTTCATTTCCTAAAATGTTGAAGCATATTGCAGTATGCATTTCTGAATACCACATTTTATGTGGTATGCACATTCTACTTATTTGTCTAGTTCAAGTTGTAGATGAGGTCCATCTGTGTGTCCAGATGTGGACACATGTCTTCAAGTTTGGCTTTTTTTTTTTTTTCCCTTGGAAGGGGGAAGTATGGAGAAGCAACTGCAAAGTTTCATATGGGCCATTTCCTGCTTTAGACTCACTTTGGACATAAACAACAGACTAGTTAACCATCTGTTGTTCTTCTTTATCCTTCTGCTGTTGATAGGGGAGTGGTGCTCTTTTGCCTCTTCACCACAAGGTCCACACCTGTCTATGGCTATTTGGGAAAAGGAGATAATATTTCTGTCCACCAGTGACATGTAGTGACTTCAGTGATTGATTGTGATTGCCACATCCAGAGTTGAGCTTGCAGATACGAGATAAAAGAGTAATAATGCTTCCCTTCTCAAAGAACATTCCTTATTGCCAATAAAACTGGTCTTCATCCATCCAGCCCTGTAGAATTTCTTGGACTCCTCTTGGCAGGCTGTCTTTTGCCAGGAGCTGAACCTCCAGTAAATATTCTTAAATTGATGGTGGTTGCAGTCATTTTAGAGACTCTAGCCCATACTGCCTTGCTGCTTGTCACCATGTGAAGAAATAAGAGAAGGTAGTAAGAAGGGCAGGGTGGGAGGAGAAGGGAGGGAGAAACTTGTTGTGAGAGACTTTGCAAAGTAGTAGTTACAGATCCTGTAAGCTCTTCTAAAGAGAGGGTTGGTTCTACAGTAGTGCTTTACCACGTTGACAGCTGTGTTATAATTGACTCTTCTGTTGTTGTTGCAATTATGACAAATACTGAAGAGTGTGTCTCTGGTCATAACGACATGCTTTGAAAGTTTGAGGAGTGGCAGTACTGTGTGTTGTTCTCCAGCCTGCACCACTGACAACATAGCGTCCAGTGCTGACAGACACATTTTTTATTGTTAATACTTTATCAAATATTTTGCCCAGCGTGAGATGCAACATGTATATTATTCTAACATATTTACAAGGAAGCATTTTGCTTTTAGCTTCTGTTTAAAACACTCAGGAAAACATTTTTGAAAACAAAGTTCAAAAGAGCAGGAAATATTTTTTTCTTTTGAATTCTCTGAAATATTTGTGCCAAGTGGATAACAGCTTTACAGGATGTAAAAATCAAAGTGAAATTTTAAGGCAAATCTGTTAATCTCTCTAGTCATATTTAGTTTCTCTTGGGATAACAGTTTTAGCCTTTCAGATATACTGTTAAGTCTTCCTCATTAACTAGGTGAACTGCTAATGCAGTGTTTGCTATGGAATCCAGCACTGTTGAGGGGAACTCACAACAATCCCTGATAAACACAAACATATGAGGCAAACACATTAACTTCTTGTTATGAAAGCAAGATGGCTTAATGCATTGTTGTCGATATTGATTCTCGTGTGAACTTCTCGCTTCATACGGTTGAAAGCACATAGCATGTTAATGGGATTTCATGTGTCATTAGTAAATTCCAGTACCCCAAAACCATTTCATGTCAAAAATTTTACTTTTTCAAGTCGAAGTGCAGAAAACCCCATTTCAGTATACACTGCCTTTGGTTTGCAAAATTGATCTTTTCCAAACTTGAGGTTTAATAGTAAAAGCAGTGACATCTGTGAATTGCTGCTGTTTCAGACATTTTGCTGTGGCAGCAGTGGTAAGAAATGCAATGGTGGCGCAAAAGGGAGAGAGGATAATAGATTCCAGACACAAGCTGGTGAGTGTGCTAGGGAAAGATTAGGCAAACTACTGCTGAACTACATCTAGTTTTGAGATGAGTTGAGATGGTAGAATAACTGCTGGTTTGTGTTAGGGGTTATTGACTTAAATGATTAAGAGGTTTTTGGTTGTGTTGTTTTAGATCCTTGCAGTAGGGTAGGCCTTTTTGTGGAGATCTGCATAGTTATTTTTGTGGGCCTACTAAGTCCAGGACAAATTTGCTCTGTAGCATACTGCTCTGAAGTATTTGGAAAGTAAAAATAATGCATTGTGAGAGTCCTAAATTGTTGGAAAGGTGGGGGGAAAGGCTCAAATTTTTTACGCTGTTGTCTTTTCATTTTTTTATCACATTCTCCATTATTAGGTAAATTAGTTTATTAGATAAATGACATCCCAGTGGTGAAAGGGATATGCAAGTCTCAGAGAGTGTAGACTAAGTGCATTGCCTCTCTACATGGATCACTGCATAAAAGTGGTGTGTGCATAATGAAATGTTGAAGTGAAATCTTTGTGCGTCCTTGACTTTTCTCCTTGTGAGAATTTTCCTACCCAGGTGTACTTCCTACCCATTTTTCTTGTTTTGTCATAAAACAGTTTGGATTGTGAATTGTCAAGACAGCCTATCAGTGCAAATTTTGAATTGGGTAGTATAGGCTCTGGTTCTTGTGATGTAGCTGAGCTGTACCTGTTTGGAGACCTGCAGACTGTCATGTGATTTGTAGTTCATAACTTTGTTCATTTAAAATCAGGATTCAGTCCTGATAGTCCTGGAGCTAAAAATCCAGTGTGCATGTTACATATTACCATGTTCCAAGTAGTCTAAAATTCAGAGAAGCCTTTGGAGAAATACTAGTAAATATTCTCAGTTGTTTGCAGCTGAACAGTGTCAGTACAAATCTATTATTAATGCGTGGGTCACATTTTTCTGGGAGATACTTCCACTGCTTTTATTGAGTTTTCTGCAGAAGTGATGAGAAAGGGCTGTTGAAGTGTTTTGCCAGCTTTCTTGATTGAACATCATTTTTTGCCCTGTGGGACTAGGTTGCAAGTGTAGGATCGTGGAGGTTTTTTTTGGTTTGGTTTATTCTGAGTTTCGTTTGTCTGTTTGCTGCTTACGTGTAGCAGAACATTTGCAGTGTATTCTCTGTTGTGACATTTCAAGTCAGTGGTGTGCAGGTTGGACACATTGAAGAGTTCAGGCTATCTTAAGTTTAGAAGAAAGTCTTGTTGTTTGGGGTTTTTCCCCTCGTGGAAGTTCTAACTAGCACAGAGCTCTTTTCATAACCAAACTAAGGAAATTTTGTAGAACAAAAACTTTGAAGAAAATTATTAATAGTCTTAGAACAAATTAAATAGCAATCTTTTTTTTTTTCTTCTAAGTGAACATTCCATAGTTCAAATTCTAATGTTTTATTGTTAAGTATGAATAAATATATATGTACACTATATATACCCAATATGTGCTATTACTGAACCTAAACTATAGAAGGTTATTTTTAATCATGCTAATAACAATACTCAATTTTTGTTCTTTGCTAAGTTTACTTATTTTCTATGCATTTCTGTGAAGATGTTCAGCTAAAGAGGAATCCTTTAGGAATTGTTTCTTCATACACTTATTCCCTTGTATATTTTGCATTGCTGCTTTATATATGCTGATAAACTGATTTCTGTTTTTACCAGTAGCCGGTGGGATTTCAGAGATGTAAAAACCCTTTGTTGTTTTTGTTCTTTATAGGTTGCAAACAATCTTTGCAAAATTTGATGAAATAAGAAACTCTGACAATATGATTTTAAGTAACGTCAGTGGTGAGTATGAAAGATTAATAATCAGCTTTAGATTAATGCAAGATAAGTATTTAAATACTAGTGTTATCAGTGGGAGATGGATGAATAGCAACATGTAAATGCTAGGAAAATGAGACACTTGATGAAACAAGCTTGTGCACTTTACTGGAACTGTTTGCTGGATTGTGGTCAGAATACAATTGGAAAAGGTGTTGAAACTGCATGGAAACAAGCAGTGAATATTTAACGAGTTACAGATGTGCTCAGTAGAGGATAGAAGAATGCTGCAAAGTGTTCATGTATGGGAAAAAAGATCAGATGAACCTTTTTCCTTCGTTTTTCTCTTAGAAACAGACTTACTTCAGTGATGGGTGTGTTTGATACTTTCTCTGTTAAAATGATGCATCATGATTATAATACATGGAGTTTTGAATTACAGAAATAGGAGACTGCAGCATTCAAAGACAATTGTTGAAGTTAAGACTTCATTGAGCTTGAGCTTCCTATTTTGGTGTATTTGAAGGAAAGACAACCAGTTGTGCAGAAAATCCCTGTTACTTCTTACTGCTGTTTTGCTACAATATTTTTTAGTATGAAAATTTAATTAAAAACAGTCAATTATGAAATAAGTTTTACATAACAGCAAAACAGAGGAGGTGGTGTGGCAGTGGCTTTAGCATAGTCAGTTTTGGAAACCTCATTGTCTTCTGCAAGGAATCAATAGATCTTGTTTTATTGGGAAGAGTTTCCTCATATTAATTTGTCTTTTAAAGTCACTATGTTGATTATGGTCTGCTGTATCTAAAAAGTGTAACTGTTCAAGAGTAGAAATATTTTGAGGAATGCATATAATTCCTTAATGTACTCAAATATACCTTTTTAAATTTTCTCACCCTTTTCTTGTTAATGTGAAAACAGAAGTGACTTTAAGTTCAAAGGAAAGTGTTTTTGTAATCTTTTCTTTGACATGGCAGGAGTTTTTATGCTGCATTTTGCTTTGAAATAAAAGACTGCTATTCTTGAACACTTAAAAATTGATTTGTAAAAAATCATATTTTTTTAAAAACCCACATCATTCTAATTTGGGGAAGAATGTTTTACATAAAAATGTAAATGTTTATGTTCTGTTATACTGTAAATTTACTCATTATGAAAGGGTAAACCATTGCCTTTTGCATTTAATAGTAATACAGCTGTGTAGGTTTCATAGGTTTGACAGATTCAGAGATGCATTTTACGTATGTATTTTTTCTGTCAGTAGTTCTCAGGAGAACAGAGAAAGTCACAAAGTGGAATATAAGCACTGAAATAATTAAAATATATGAAAATGTACATATATATCACATTGCTGCACTAGTTAACATAGCACTTCTGTCCCTTTTGTCTCCATTTAAGAGAGTTAAGAAAGTTTATTTTGAAGCTGTTTTTATCTTATGTGCAAAACACAGATATTAATGTTGATCTGTGACAGTATAAACCATGTATTTTAACTTGTAGGTGGCAATTTCTATGCAAAAGTTACTGTGATTCTGTTTTGGTACTATAAATTACAGAATCCCTCTTAATACGTTGGTTTCAGTATTTTTGCTTGAACCTAGTTCATCTGTTGCTTCCATCTAGACAGTTTTTCAATGTTATTCTAAAGGTATTCTTCCATTGTTAGTGCTTTATCTTGGCTTTGTGCTTCATTATTCTCTGAAGGACAGTTTGTATTTACTGCTTGCACGTGTAGATTTAAAGTTACTGTTGAATTCCTGTGGCCTTGGTTCCAACTTTTCTTTCAGGAGCTTTATCAAACATCTCTGGATAAAGACCAGATTTTAGTGGCTAAATACATCTGTTACAGTGTTGAGGATTTTTTTTTTTTTGGTGCTTTGTATATTTTGTAGTAGGGTTTGGGATGGTGGGGGGGAACAGGGTTGTCTTTCCCAAGCGGGGGGAGGCAGAGGCAGGGTGGAAAGCACAAAAATACTTCAACTGGCTTTAATATCATTAAACTCTATAGTGGACCTTCTTAACAGCAAAAGGAATGGCTTTTTGCCAGGTGGCATTACTGTCCCAAGTAGGGTGACTGTACTGATGGGGGTCCTGTTCAGTGTGTGATGGATAGGGACTGACTTGTTAATACAACCCCAGGAGATGTCATCTTCTTCATAGTCCTGAGTTGTGCTGCTGTGGTAGTGAATATTTGGTGTGTTGACCTAGTTTCTGAGAATCCAGAGATGTGACTTAGGATTCTCTCATCAAATAATTCTGGTGTCAGTTGTTCAGTCTTTTTATCCAGCATGTACTTAGGAAGAAAAAAAGGAATGACTCTCAGAGCTTGCAGCTTTAAACAACCTGATTACAAAAATGTTTTCCATACTTTATTGATAGTCAAAACAAAGGTATCTTTTAAAAAATACTGATCTAATACTTGAGAGTTTTAAAAGACATCATGTTGGTATGCTTAGGTATGTGGGAGAAATACAGGTAGGACACGAAAAGGTCTCCTTCCTGCCATCTTAGCACACTGGTAGATATAATATCTTACTTTTTCAGTGTGCTTGAGGGGATCTGGTGAGAACAGCCCCTTTAGTCTTATGTTACCTCTTTTCTTTATTGAATCTGGTCTCTAATGGGATGGTAAAGAACAGGGGGAAAATGAGTTACCATTAGGGACTGACAGATCCTCTTCGAGGGTAGGTGAGGTGAAAGGCACATTCAGACACTTATGAGTGGAATAATTGGGGTGGGATATAACCAGGAGTTTCAAAAGCCAACAGATGAGGAGGTGCCATGTTTAAAAAGGGAACTGGGTAGGAATCTTAGTGCTTTTGCTTGATGAGAGTGGCTTACAGCCTTAAATAATATTCCAGCTGACCCTTGATTTTTTTATTTTTTGCTCTAAGGTGTGTATAGTAAAATCAGAGATAATTTCTTTAATGTGAATTATGTGAATGAGTGAGCTGCTATGCAAACCTTGGGATTTGTTTACATTCATAATGATGCGTATTAAAAGAATCATATCAGGATGTTTGCCTGTTAAGCAGTATCTTACACGTGCTGCTAGTTTTGCCCTTTCACTCCACCAGAACTTTATGTAGCCTTCCAAACTGGAGAAGATTCTTTAAAGCACCACCCCCCCCCCCCCCCCCCACCATTTTTCAGCAAGTGAATGTTCATTTCTATGGAAACAGAACTGGCAGCCAATCTCAGCACTACAAAAGCACTTGTTTCTGCTGCCTGAGATTGTAAATACTGTTTTCTTTAAGAGAATTCAAGCAGATTCCTATATCAGATAGTAGTGTCATTATTGAGAGAGGGAATTAAAACAAAAGTAGGCAAACTTAATAGTGAGCTCCCTGCTGCACTCAGCAGAATGATTGGGCTGAAGATAAATCACACATCTTTATTCAACCTGTGCACTTTTTCCATTTTAATATTTAATGGCTCAAAGGACTGGCTTTACAAACAGAAAATATGACAGGTAGGATATGTGATGTTAGTATCATGGTGTAGGGGAGTTGTGTTATGGGTGATAAAGGTGCAGCTGAAATACATGTTCTGGAAAAAAAAAGGAGCAAATAAAAATCCATAGCACTAGTGTGTATCTGTTTTTCCACATTACACTATTGTTTTTTATTTCCCTTTGCTGTTTTCTATTTGGAAATATAGTTACTATGGAAACAGTGACGACATACTCTTAATAGAGCTCACCAGTGCGGCACAACATGAATATATATCGTTTGGGAATACTGGTGATAGCTGCCGTGATTATTTTATGGAGGTTGTGAGCTGTATGTATTCCTTTGGTGTGCTCAATGCAAGTGATCAAAATGTAGCCACATCATTTTCCATTTCAGCTGCTCTTCCCAATGGCTTATCATTTTAAATAGGAAAATTTACTGACCAGTGAAGTGTACTGGTCAGTTCAAGCACATTTGCAAGAAAAGGGCCTCATCAGGCTGATGCTTCCACTGGTTTTAAGGAATTTGACTGGGTTTTTGGATTATTACTACAGGGAACTGTGTCTGGCTCCTTGGAAATGCGTGGTTCTCATGCTCTGTGTGACAGCATATGCTGCAGTCTGCCTGAGTTTTAAACTTTCCTATTGGCAAGACTAAGTAAATTGGTACTACTTACTTGCTACTCTTATTTTTTTGATCACTGTTGGATTGCACTCTCTACCCTCAGCATGTCACCCAAAAGGTACATTCAGGTACAAACTGATCAGCAGCTCAGGTCTGGGCAGGCTGTCATTGATGCCCCCCAGCGTGTGTTGCACGCATGCTTTGGAAGCAGTTTCTCTTTTAAAGTTGCGGGGGTGGGTTTCCAAAGAAGTCTTCCGAAAACTCAAAAAAGGCAGCAGCTTTCTTCAATGCAGCCCTTTCCTACTTCCTGTGGCTTTACTGTTTTGTTTCATTACGTGTTACGTTACGTTTTGGTTGATCTCTGTTCTGCAGAGCGCTCGTCCTTAACCGAGGCTCCTTCCCTGTCGTTTCCCGTTCCGTGGTGCTGCTGGGGGCAGAGCTGTCCCCGGGCTGTGCGCTGTGCCCCGGGGGCCGCGGCGGGGGGACCCGGCGGGCGCGTGACGGCGGGGGCGGAGCGCCCGGGGGGCCGGGCCGGGGCCGGGGCCGGGCCGGCGCGGAGGCTGCCTCGCAAGGCGGGACTGCTATTTTGAAGCGAGGCGGCGGCGGTGGCGGCAGGGAGCCGGCAGGAATCCGGCGGGGATCCGGCCGGGACCCGCCGCGCCCGCCCTCCCGCGGCACCGGCGGGCATGATGGCTGTGGGGGACGGTGAGTGGGGACCGCCGTGCCCTTGGGGACCGGCGCAGGGCTGCGGGGGCTCTCGGCAGCCCGGGCGGGCCGGGGAGGTTGGTATGGCAGGTTGGCGTCTTGGGCTGACGGGCTTGGCTTCCGCCCGAGCCGGGCGCTGGCCGGTGGATGCTACGTGCAGCAGCCGGAGGGTACCGGCGCACCGAGCGTGGCAGCTGCAGCCCTTCTTGGAATTTTACCCGTGCCCGGGTTTCTGGGATGGCC